ATTGGCAACATTTAAGTAAACAAACAATAAAGAAATGATCGATAGGAACCCAAGTGAGACTAAAAGTCCAAATGCATACAGATCATGACATTCAAAGCAAATTGGTAAATTAATTTTTACATGCAGTTTGTTTAAAACACTGAAACTCAGCAGCTGTTTTCATCTTTTTACAGTCCGATGGCGGCTCTGTCTGAGAACATGGTGACAGTCAGCATGTTACTGAGTGTCGTCTTTCTTCCAGGTGAGATGTTTGTTCTCTTCCTTTCATTAGGAGACATTACATGAGTCATTACTCTGAAATATTTCATCTTGATATTGTTTAGAGGCTCAACATGTAACAGTTTCCTCTTTAACACAAGAAAAATATCATGGACTTTAGGAAGAAGTATGACACTATGTAGCCACTTCCCATAGATAGACTGTGGAGAAAAGCTCATGTTTTTGTTTTTTATGACACTATCACATATTGCAGATGTGATGTAGAAGAAGTGAAAGTGTTTGTACTTTGTAGTTCTCAGAAGAAGCAACATCCTTGAGAGACTGCTGCTGTCATTTTATCTTTTATTTATCTTAACTTACCATCTCTGTCCGGTTTTCCAGCAGCATAATAGCACAATAAAAATAAATAAAAAAATCTCCACAGGTGCCTTAAGGTCATCTAGCAGATCATCAGCTATAATCTGCCAAAAAATTATAACTGAATACTTCTTGCTGATTCAGGAACATCATGAAAAATCTCCAAGTACAAGCACTACTTGAACAGATCTGTAAAGACTAAAACCAAATGGACTGAGAAACATTTTTTACCCATCAGCATCGTCAGGCTGAATGCTCTTAAGTGATCGATTTGACATTGTATATTTCTTATGTCTATTTTAGTTTTAAATTAACTTTTTTATAAAGGGACAAGAGCAATATAAGTAAATATTTATCATCTTTTTATAAGTGAGACATTGTTTTTATCTGGATAATTGCGTCCAAATTTGATTGTACAATTTTTCATTGTTACAGTGACAATAAAAAGTCTATTCTATTCTATTCTATTCTATTCTATTCTATTCTATTCTATTCTATTCTATTCTATTCTATTCTATCAAGAAATTTAGCTGCAGGAAGATTTTGCTCCACATCATGTTCATTATTTGTTCTTACAGGTGATGTGGCTGCTTGTCCAGATCCAATCCTTATTGCTAACACACCTGGGTGGATGGAAGCACTGAGTGGATCTTGTTTGCAAATCCCATGTAGCTACAGTGCAACACATTACACATATGGCCAAAGTAACATTTATTACGGAATTTGGTTGAAAACTAACCCATATTTTGTGGAAAATCCAAGCTCTCTTATTTTCAACAGCAGTGGATCAGTTAACATTTATCCACTGGAAATCACTGGAAACCTGAGAGAGAAAAACTGCACCACTGTGTTTTCTGATTTAAAAATGAGGCATAAAAACAAATACTACCTCCGCATTGAGAATGGGAAATTTAAGGCAACAGATATTTGTCAGCCTCTTCATATAACAGTAAAAGGTAAGAAACCTTTTGCTTGTTTATACTATGATACTGATGTACAATGTTAATAAGAATTATTCATATCCAGGACATGTTTAGATTGTTTCCCTTCAATCAACAAGTTTTTATTTTATTTTATTGATGCCAGATGAAAAAGGCAACCCTCAAAAGATAATAAAATAATGTCAAAGAATTATCAATTTTAAAACTTCTGCTTTTGTTTACATTCCAAAAATGAACATAATGTCTTTAATATCCATCTCCTTCAAAGAAAAATCTATATTGGATTTACATTGTGGAGGTTAAAAAAATACAATTGTAATATTTGACCACCTTCTTTCACATTTCTATCTGTATATTGGCAATTTATATGAATTATTTTCAGTGTTATCAGATGACATTAAAGGCTGAACCGCTATAAAAAAATATTATCAAACATGTGGATAATTTTACTTGCACTTTCACTCTAAAAAATTATTGTGTGTTAAAATTGCAGAACTTAAAAATGTTGATCACATTATTTTCTTTAGGACTTTGTAATTTTAAACTACTAGTGAATTTATGATTTTGTATAGCTAATCAAAAATTGATTGATGGACAATCATTGCCCATGTTTTTTCAGACAGAACAAGATATGTTCCCCATGATTTTAATTTGTTTAATGTGAAACTCCAGATTCTCCTTGGAGTCCCAGCATTAATGTTCCCTCTGACCTGAAGGAGCATCAGTCTGTCATTGTAACCTGCTCAGCTTTCACTCCCTGTCCACACTCACCTCCTCAACTCACCTGGAATCTCCAACCAGACTCTTTCAGACAAACAGAGAAAAACACAGATGGAACCTTTACAACTAAAATCCAGGAGACCATCACTCTGTCAGACACACATGATGGATACAACATCAGCTGTTCTGCCAGATATCCTGTGATTGGTGGAAGCAAGACAGCAGGGACAGAAGTGACTCTCAGTGTTTCATGTAAGTGATCCTGTCAGCAGGTCATGGTTCAGCTGTTTGTGATCAATAAAGTTCATGTGCCTCATTTTCCTCAGACGCTCCTAGAAACACCTCAGCATCCATCAGTCCATCAGGTTTGGTGTCAGCAGGTAGCTGGGTGGAGCTGAGCTGCTCCAGCAGAGCCAAACCTCCACCCAGATTCACCTGGTTCAGGAACAACAAAGATGGAGCCACTAATGTGTCTGTGGACCAGGTTTACAACTTCAATGCTACAGAGGGAGGAGAGTTTCACTGTGTGGCTTCAAATGATCTGGGTCAACAAAAATCCTCTGTGATCCTTGTCAATGTTAATGGTAAATGTTTTATCTCCACTGAATCTTACCTAAAT